AGCAATGTGTAATCCTTTGGTAATTGAACGTTGTGCTTCTTATAAGAAAGTAACACCATTTGCCTACTGCACTCATTCCAGAGCCTCCCAATAATGCTAAGGAGTGGGCAATTTCGTCGAAGCTCGCGCGTACGTTAGCTGTGACCTTGGACTCGAATGTTTTGGGACGTGTATTATTGGAGATGTATCAAGTCGTGGTAAAAAATAAAACTGCCCGACATTCACGCATACGAGATGAGCGACTAGATATGAAACATCTGCGGTGCTCAACGTAAGTCACGATGCAGCTTCACGCGGCAATGGTGCAGAACGTGCGAGCGAATAAATTCGCGCGGTCGTAGGAAAAGCGAGGGTCGTCCGTTTAACGTGTCAAGAGCGCTGGAAAGAAAAAAGAATCCTCGAATTTTCTTGGCTGATGTCATTAAATTGTGCGCGAGTGATCGTACATTCGTCGGCCTAGAAATTTCCCAGAGCATCGTCATAGATCGTTGACAGGAGGCGCGACGTGAATTGACCGATGTCCCGGTCGCTTGGTATTAAAATTGCGCGATCGTGCATAATGTTGCTGCTGCTGCTGTTGCTGCTGTCGTTACTGCTACTGCTGCTATCCCCACGTTCGAAACCTCTCTCCGCCTATTCCCCGCGCGACAATATTCATCTTCGCCTGTTTTTGAGATCCGCGGCGACTTTGTCCACGAGCTCTTGTGACGTTACGCGCAGCGCCCAGCTCTCGAGTTACCCCGACGATCGGCTTCCAAGGCCGCCACTCACCAAGAGATTCCAACTGCGTTTCTTCTCTTCCTTTTGCCCTCAGCCCACCCGAGTTGGTTCATGAGAACCTACGAGCTTCATAAGAATACTCGATGCTAAGTAGCTTCGTATTTTTTCCAACGTACTTTTATCAAAGCTTATACGACTGCCTTTGTTCCCTCGGTATTAGTTCACTCGGTATATCCCTTACCACTATTCCGTATATTTAGAAGACTGCCGATTACTTTCATCGCGAAAACCTCTTGGTTTCGTGTATTCCAACGTGAAATAAACATTTTATTTATGACTGGGGAAAGAAAGAAAAAAATATTATACTGCCTCTATAATTATTCGATTCGTCGTTCACTTTTTCATTCTCCTTTTTATTAACGGCAATACCTTGTGCTATAGATTTTTATAGCACCCACAAATACCTTTCATTCGCTCTTTTGTTATTTTATTTATTTGTTTCTTTAATAGCGAGTTCATTTTAGCGTTGAATTGAATAAGGGGATAAAAAATTATATACGATAATCCACGATAATGCACCGTTTATTATTTGCATAAACAACTGTTAATGTTGTAAATTATTCAGGGAATGTATGGTTTTAATGCCCAACGTCCAAGATTCTAAATTTTGACTGTATCATCGATTGTCTGTATAGTTCCTAAATGTTCAACTACATATTAAACAATTTATTTACACATAAAACATAGAGAAAAAAAAAAAAAAAGAAAAAAAAATTAATACGGCGTTGCAATTATTTTTTCTTTTTATTTTATAAAAAAAAAAAATAAATAAAGTTTCCACATAGACGACACACCACAGAATTATTTTGTCATTTGCATTTAAATTGACCAAAAAACGTAGGAATCAGGTAATAATAAAGAAGCAAATTAATTGCAGTATTTATTAAAAATAAAGAAAAAAATCAACATACAACACTCAAGGAAACTAAAATCAATATCTCAAACTTTATGATATATCGCAACAAATTCGAGCATTGCCTTGATTGATGTCACTTATTCAAAGAATTGATATATTTTTTATATTCACGGGCTCTCGTTTCCGTGGAAAACGAAAAGAATACTATATCAGCGAAAATGAATTCGCTAGAAGTAAATTTTCTTGGGGTGCCATATTACGTTGCGTCATACGTTGCAATTACACAAAGTGCACATCTAGCCGCGCCTTGTTAGCATTTTTCTCTAATTTTTGCACACTACACTATTGTTTACTCAACCACGATCTGCCTCTCTCTCTCTCTCTCTCTCTCTCTCTCTCTCTCTCTCGATCTATCTATCTTCGCACGAATAGGACTACATGAGTTTTTGGAGAGAGAGAGAGAGAGAGAGAGAGAGAGAGAGAGAGAGAGAGAGAGAGAGAGAGAGAGTGAGGGGGAGGGGGAGGGGGGAGGGAATTCTATTTCCTTGTTGGCAGTGAGGCGATGGTCTTGTGACCTTGGCGACCACTCCTACGCCCGAATAGGCGAGCTGCGGTGGGTAAGATTCGTGAATCCGACATCCGGCGGAATGCGCAAACCGGTGCCTCGCAAAATACCGCGACTAAAACGAGCAGAGAAAGAGAGGATGAAGGGAGGGAGGTGGTAGGTCCAGTGCTCGAGAAAGGTCGACGCTCAGCCATTGGGAATGTTATTGGTGGCGCCGAGTCAAGCGTCAATCGATTCGTCGATCGTTCCACGTCGAATTTAAAATGCCAGTCCCGAAGCACCGCTTTATGCAGAAAATGCAATAACGTCGGATGGATGGGAGGAGCCACGCGAATCACATGCGCGCACAATGTTTTATTACTCCTAGGTTTTACAAGCGATCGAACGAACGAGCGAGCGATTTATGCGTGTCTTTGCACTTTGGCTACTACACGAAAATTCTAATAATTTGTGTAGGTAAGCTCGCGAAGATGTGGCATTGAATTTTCGTAGTTGCGCGGTGAGCAAGACGTCAACGTAATTTCCAATATAGGATGAGTGCATCGTGAACTCCTTTAAGGACAAATGTTTGCAAAATTTTAAACTAAGCGAATGTCCTAATGAGGCATTCTGACTTCTGAATATCGGACAAAAGAAAAATTTTTCAATTAATAGATAAATTTGATCAATATTAGAGTAATGTCGGATAAAAATGTATGGGCGGGCGCGCGCACATATGAATAATAAATGGCACATTTATCTACAAAACCAGAGATGAATTTAAAAGAAAAATTCTATTTTTACATTAGCGATTGAGATTGTAAAATTATCATTGTTTTTAATTCGTGGAGTAGGGTGTAAGATAAATTGTCAGCTAATATGCTACAATTGCCATTTGTCGGTGGCTTAATTTCCATTACGTGGAAAAAAAAAAATGCCTTTTCTTCGTGTCTTCCCCTGGCTATATTATTTTCGTTGCCATGGAGTGGCCAGTGCAAGCATTTAAAATCATTCGCCTCATTGAGTTATTAAGAAAGTAATAAATATTAAATGAGAAACTATTCGCCGAAGCAAGAGCTCAACAGCTTTCGTATAAATGCCAACTGGCTTATCATAATTAATATTACTTGATAATTAAGATTTATGATTTAGATAATTCGAAGCTTGCCCTATCAATTTAAAGTGTAATGGTGCATTGATTTGGAATAGAGAGAGAGAGAGAGAGAGAGAGAGAGAGAGAGAGAGAGAGAGAGAAGAAAAAAAAAGAAAAAGAAAAAATTAATTTATGACAATAAAAACTTTAATCCCGATGGATATTCAGAGCCACATCGTGCGCCGATAATCGCTCGTCGTAGTAATGCCCGATTTAAAAAATTTTACCGAAATTTTGCCGATAATCAAATATAAAAATCATTGTAAAGTACATGCGTAACGTAGAGAAAATGCAACAACGTACACGAATGCAACGCGAACGACCTCGTCGGTCGACCAGTTATGAATGGATTGTACTAGTTAACGTTGGCATTTAATAACGGATGGTTTATAAAGGCGACAATAGCGGCTCTTAGTCCGACGTATTAATTCCAAACGTCTGCGCTGTTTGAAATTGTAATGGCGTAATGAATGCAGGAATCGTATAGGGTCTTGCCTCTTTGATTTTAAGTCCTTCGTCCGTTGCATGCAAATTATGCACGCGGTCGCACTGGTTGCCTACCACTTCCACACCAAATCATCCATATTCTTACGATACATTTAATGAAATAAAAACAAAACAAAGAACAAAAACAAAAAAAAAACACAACAAAACAAAACAAAACAAAACAAAACAAAAAAACGCGTACGTTGACGTCGATAATAATAAATAACGGCCAGCGAACCGTCATATTTTCTCGTAAACAAGCCATAGACGTGCTTACCTACGCTTAATTACTAATGCCACTTACATCACAACGGCACCGTGCTCAGCCACTCCAGCTAAACACCCAATTTCTCGGCAAATTACGTAACACGTGGCGAAGGGGCGCAGGGGACAGGAAGGAAGGAATGATGGTTGGTAGAAAAGGGTATGGCGGGGAGAGAGAGAGGGG